ATTATTTTCCTCCTTTGTCACCCTGACTGACTCATTTCTAGTAATAAGGGAATTAAATCATATCTTTCCTTTCACCCCATAAAATACCCGCAAAGTGTCACTGATGATTTAGGTTTCGCGAGGAAATTCCCTCATGAATCACTCACAATCAAAGAAGAAAAGGGAATGAGAAATATTTTGAGAATGGTTCTTTTTAAGGGTTGTCCTCGGGGAAAAAAGAAATTGAAAGGGTGACGGTCAATGCCATCAACGGGGTGAGCCGTCTTTCAACCGACTCGATGGGGTGTAAACATTTTCCTTTCGAGAAATAGATGATTGAGAGAGAAAACATTGAGAGGGTATCTTAAAAACATCATAGTTCTCAATAGAGTGTAGATTTACAAGAATGACCCCATCGTGAAATTCGGAAGCAAAAAGAAAGCAGCAAAAAGAAGGAGAAGCAAAAAGAATGGGCAAAACCGTCGAGCTGTGGGTCAAGTTATTTTTTGATGCCACTACTCGTACAACTTTTTGAAAAATGCCAAAAAAAAATTGGAAACTGAGAGCTCTGGCTTTGGATTCCGGCCTCTAATCGCCTTTTTTTGAAGAACACGGCCACTACTCGAACACGGCCACTACTCACTAAAGTTTGAGGTTAAATATCTTTTGCAAAAAGAAACGATTCAAGTTCAAGTTAACTAAAACAAGGTCTCAGCTAATAATCGAAAATATCCTTTCAGCAGCCCGCTTGATGTTCTTATTCTTGCACCGATCGAGCCTTTTCTTTTTCTGAGGGTTGGAAACCGACTGCTTCCTTTGTAATTTGTACGAAACCAACTTCAACTTCAACTTCGCTCTAACAAGTCGTCTCATCGAAGTTTCGGGAATTTTTAGATCTTTTGCTGAGCCTCGAATGCTCTTTCTTGGATTTCGTTGGATTCGTTTTTTGACAATTTTCTTGAGCCTGTTGGTCGTGACGGTAACTTTTCTTCCTGTTCTTGGACGGCCCTTAAGCGTTCCAAGTGCGATAGCATCATAAACCATAAGCTAAGGCAGTTTGAGTCGCCGAATGATGTCGGGTGGAGAAACGCCCTTTTGATGAAGATCGAGTATCGCCCCTCGACTTGCCGATGGCTTCACCATTTTACGTTCACCTAAAAACTTCAAATGAATTACGAAATAAAACAGATAGAAGAACTACAAAAGAATGTTGTTCAGTAAAAAGAGAGGAAAAAAAAACACTTTTAACAATGTGGGCCTGCCTATGAAATGTTGTGCGGGTAATTATCGCGCACCCTGTAGGGTGAATCTCTATATACTTTCAGCGCAGAGGCCTTTTTTTGAAGGGCACGGAAAAGAGGTTAACTGAAAAACTAGGAGACCTCTTGTAAAATAATTATAACTTTCCGAAACTACAGAAAATTTGCTACATTTTTGGATATGAGTTTCATAGGTTTTGATAACGGTTTAAAGGTTTCGATAAACATCATCTACGAGTCAAAAGCCACACGCCAAATTTCGTCGGCCACTCTGTATACATTGACAAGCTATTAAATGGTTAACAAGAATGATAAACTACAATCGAACAGAAGAAAATCGTTTATGTGAACCCACAAAGAATACAAAAGAACGTAGAATGGAAAAAAAAGCAAAAAATGAGGGTTCGAACTCTCGACTGTCAGCTTGCTGTACCAAGCACTCTCCCTCGACCACCGAACGGTTTGTGGTGTAAAAAAATCGGGTTAAAAGGGAGAGGCTCAAAACTTCTATGCCAGTTTGACGGTGATTATGCGCAGCTAATTTTTGCATCATTAAAATCAGTGTAAAATTCTGCGTCGAATGGTTTATATATCATCGGAAAAGGCCACGGAAAAGGCCAATCATCCTTCTCTTGTAAGTTATTATTGTCATTTGATAGCTCTAAATCTCCTCTTGAAAACTAGTAGAAAGTTACCAAGAACTACAAGAACAAGAACAAGAACAAGAACAAGAAAATGAATAACAAGAGTCTTTAAAGACTTGAGTTGTACGGGATTAGTAGGTTAATAATCGTCATTAGTATGTCATCGGTGGGTCATAGGGTCATCGGTGGGTCATAGGGTCATCGGTGGGTCGTCGATCATCGCCGTGAATGGGTTAAGATTGTGCTCCTCATAAAATGCTCCCAAAATGTGTCAACTTTCAAAACTATCGTAGTTTGCTATTGCTAAACTGCTTATAGTTTTTTATGTGTACTAGTAAACTGCTAAACTGCTATGCTTATAGTTTTTTATTCAATCATCTACTCATCTACGGTTGGTGCAAAAACAGGCAAACACTTCATGTCATCGAGACCTAATGCAACGCTTAACCAATAGTCAAAAGGCAGTTTGTACAAACGAATACGCAGCTAACACTAAAAACGCCGAAAATCAAAAAAATGTCTAAAACTTCTATTCGACTTCGTCAAATAATATGCGTTTGATATCAGTAGAATGGTTAACTAATTCTCTACAAAATGACATTTAAAAGAAAATTCAAATAGCGCCTCCGCTCAAGAAAAAGCCATTTTTTCACAAAAACTACAAACTGTGATCTAGAAAAAACCATTGGTGGGATCTTCCTGCAAATTTGGCAACTTGAGTAATTGAATGTGCTCTATCTTTTTTATATAAACACCAAAGAAGGTTTATGTGAAAGAAACTGTTCAAATGATGAGTCGGACTCTTTGCCATTTTAACCAGCTGCGTTTGGAAGTTCATAAACTCCACGAAAGAAAAGCTTTGTGGAATCTCTCAAAAGTCATTTTGTAGAGAAATAGTGGATCCTTTTGATGAAACCAAACGTATGTTTAAAGAAGGCTTTATGTGTGCAAAAAGTCCCTTTAAAGTTTGGCGCCGACTCATTCTCCCCAACCCAATATAATGGATTCTGGTTACCAAGCCGTCTTTTGGAGGAAATTTTGCTTAAAACCTAGACTATTATCATAGAATCATCGACAAGAACGACATATTCTACTTTTATAAAAGTAGTTTTCAAAAAGAACTCAATGAACTCAATGACTCAGCGAGGCTTCGAATCAATTTCTTTTTTTTCATTTGGGAAAACATTTTGACCCAATAAAAATTGGGAAATTTAGAGAAGAAATTGCAAAAATTTATGATGTAAAAAGAGAAACAGATATTTAGGTAACGAAATCGTAAAAATTGGGTGAAAATTTTCGGTTTCTGTGTTTTTCGGGGGATTACTGAAATGGAGAGATCGAGATCGCGATAAATCCGCTTGGGTTTCGAAAAGTTTTACATGAAAATAGCAAAAACATTACCGGTGACACAGCGTTGATATGTAGAAATGTAAAGCTTAAATATACAAATTTAGGGGTGGCTTTTTTTTCTAGACTTTGAGACTTTTAAACCGTTTCGAAAGACGGTTGTGCTAACGACAGGGTGATCAAAAAGTTCCTGCACACTTTTCACTTTCATTTTCCAGCTCAAAACCCAGATCGAAATTCGACTTACTGTATAGTATTTTGAAGCTGAAAGTCTGCGGAGCATTTCTACACCTAAACCATCCTGATCAAAGCCACTTAGCTCTCGAAAGAAGCATTGTGGTACGCTGAAGGCAAAATGTCATGGCGTTCACCGATTTGAACCTGTTTTCAATTGAAAAATCCTTCAAAAAGCCTTTTTAAACATGCACTTTTGTTTTCAGTGTTCGCTGCGGTGCCACATAATCGTCCGCCGTCTCTCACCTGAAGTCACTATAATTCGCGGTCGCTCTGTACTCAGGATCGTGTCTCTGGATCGTGTCTCTGGAACGGCTAGTGTCTCTGGATCGTGTCTCTGGATCGTGTCTCTGGATCGTGTCTCTGGATCGTGTCTCTGGATCGTGTCTCTGGATCGTGTCTCTGGATCGTGTCTCTGGATCGTGTCTCTCCGGATCGTGTCTCTGGATCGTGTCTCTGGATCCTGTCTCTGGATCGTGTCTCTGGATCGTGTCTCTGGATCGTGTCTCTGGATCGTGTCTCTGGATCGTGTCTCTGGATCGTGTCTCTGGATCGTGTCTCTGGATCGTGTCTCTGGATCGTGTCTCTCCGGATCGTGTCTCTGGATCGTGTCTCTGGATCCTGTCTCTGGATCGTGTCTCTGGACCGGCTAGTGTCTCCGGATCGTGTCTCTGGATCGTGTCTCCGGCTAGTGTCTCTGGATCGTGTCTCTGGATCGTGTCTCCGGCTAGTGTCTCCGGATCGTGTCTCTGGATCGTGTCTCCGGCTCGTGTCTCCGGATCGTGTCTCCGGATCGTGTCTTCGGATAGTGTCTCCGGATAGTGTACTTCGAGAAACCAGTTTTCGAAAGCGCTTAAGAAAACATGTTAGGCATTTTTCTTATTGTTCAATCTATATCGGACGTCCGATATAGAGGGTGCTCAAAAAAAAAAAGTTTTCAAACCGGAATTTCTCAGGATTTCTGACGGGTAATGGTGGTTGATGTGGTGTCAAAGTGAACGATTTGTGCTCTCAAATCTTCCATGAAATTTCGTGAACAATTGCGCAGAGATTGCCTTGTTTTAAATTTTCTGATCGAATAAAACATTGATTTGCTATTTTAATGGCTATTAGTCGTTTCTAGTATTCTTAATTTAAAGAATAAGAGTATTGATGTATTATCGTAGGTCTTATTTTTCAAAAATTATAGTTTTTTTTTCTGATCTCATACTCTCTTGCAAATGTACCCAAGATTTTGACAACACACATCGCAAATTACAAGGAGGAAGTTGTTCAAAGACACATAAAAACTTATTTTAATAGCTTTATTTCCGATCGCACACTTTTTCAATATGTAAATATCAAAAAAGAACTCTAGAGGAAAAATGATGGGATATAAGTGGGCAATTTATCATTTTTTTTATCCCATGAGACTTCAAATTAGCTTGTCTGGCGTAAACAAGAGGATTTCTGAAGAGAACTTATAAAAGTTTTGAATAATTGAAAATCGGCTTACATTTCCTGTCTTCTGACAAAAATCTGCAGATAATATTTAGCAATGTCTTTTAAGATAAGCTTGATCATTGAACTGTTGACACCACTCTTGGTTACGATCATGTTTATAGGTAAAAGTTATTCTTTTTTTCGAAAGAGTGGTTAGCATTTGCTAATTTTGATTAGAGTGTTTTCTGCTCAAATATGTCGTTCTATTGTCATTCAAACAATACAACGAGTCATTCAAACGTGAGATCTCAAGATATTCAGTTAACGATAACTGAATCGTGAGATTTCGCCTTTGAAGTGCGCTTATAGGACGCTTTTCTTGAGGGTTATCGGACATTTGATACGCACTCCGCCCTTTTTGCCATTGGCAATCCAACTTTGCACTCAAATATCTTGGTGTTGGGCTGTTTAATTTAAATATTCTTGATAACGTTGGATGTGCCAAGTCTTTCACTGTCAATTAGTCCAAAAACTATTGAAATTGGACAGCCCAACGACAAGATATTTGAGTCCAAAGTTGGATTGCCAATGGCAAAGGGGGCGGCGGGCTTACGTTCCACCTTTTATACGCACCCCGCCCCTTTGCCACTGGCAATCCAACTTTGAACTCAAATATCTTGGTGTTGGGCTGTCCAATTTCAATAGTTTTTGGACCAATTGACAGTGAAAGACTTGGCACATCCAACGTTATCAAGAATATTTAAATTAAACAGCCCAACACCAAGGTATTTGAGTGCAAAGTTGGATTAACCGATAACCGTTTTGATAGCTGTCTGCCAACAGTTAACAGTATATCTTTAACTTTTAAAAGAAAAAAAAGCAGGAACTAAAGGTAGATCATCATCTTCTCACAGGTCTAGCCATATTGGGTCGAAATGCGAGAGCATCAGCGAATCTGACGACGAAATTGCCCACACTTGGGGTGAAAATCAATCAACAACTCTCGTTATTTGTAAGTCTGAATAAGTTCTAACCATTTATTAGTTTATGTACAGAACCAATTCTCCTCTGTAATCATCAATATTATCTGTCTGATCGCCACTCTAAACAATCGTGTCTACCATAAACCGGTCAAATATCTAATTGTCACCTCGTGTCTGGGGCGGCTTTTCTTTATATTTTACTATTTTTGGCAAGCATTGTGCTAGTAAGTTTTAAAATTAGGACTCAAGAGACTTTGTTAACTGATCAACTGACAGGAATGCGATTTCCACAAAGTCTTATTTAAAATTCTCTGTTTAGTGTCGTTTTGGACTCGATCATCCCCGATCCCTTGTATCAAGTGTTTCTATTCTTCGTTCCCATTGTTTTATCTGCTCGTCACGTGTCAAATTTTGCACTTCTCGGTGAGTTTCTGATGTTTTTGATCAGAAACATGAATGTTGAATAGTTTGTTGAATAGTTTCGATTGCTGAATGAATACCGTATTTCTTCGAATAGAAGACCGGGTAAAGAGTATCATCGCGTACTCCTGCGTAGCAGCCCTTTTTAAAATTTCTTTTCTGCATAAAAGCTTTCAATGAAGTGCTATAGGGCTGGAAAATGGCTCAAAAATCTGTTAGCTCATGTGGTATTTTTGAGTCATTTTCCAGCCCTATAGCACTTCATTGAAAGCTTTTATGCAGAAAAGAAATTTTAAAAAGGGCTGCTACGCAGGAGTACGCGATGATACTCTTTACCCGGTCTTCTATTCGAAGAAATACGGTAGTTTCGATTGCTTTCAGGTCTTTCAGTCAATCGTTTCCTCGCCATTTCCTTCAATGGTCGTTTCTATGATAGATTCAACAAACTCCCTCTACTTTATGTGCTCGTAGTGATTGCATCGGGGATTATTTATGCTTATCTCATAATCAAATGGATTACTGGATGTAGGTTTTTATCGATAAAACTAATTCGCTTTTTTGATTGCATCGATAGGCGATGCAATCAAAAAAGTAGGCTCGATTGCAAGCAGGCTAAAATGCTTTAAACACGGATTCTCAAATGTCAGCTACAGAAGCAAGATCAAACTTCAAAATAAAACCTAAGCATTTAGCTACATAAAACTTTGCTACTAAGGTTAGTGAATAAAGTATAAAACGCCAAATAAGAACAATAGCGTATTTTCTGTAATTGAATCCCATCCCTTTAATAGAAGCCCTCCTATAATTGAGCCCCACTCTTTAATTGAGCCCCACCGAAACGCAAAATTACAAATCACGTTTATGCAAGCGTATCTATGAAGATTATGTTTACAAATTAGAATTTTTTTTCATTTGCCATCATTTTTCATTTGTTTTATGCTTCTTTTTGCAGTTACTAATTTTATAATTTTCAGATACGATGAGTAAAGTTGTTGACGAGTTAGAGCTGTTTTGGAATGCGACGAAACAACGAGCTTTGAAGAAGCTCGACGAGACAACGAGCTTTGAAGAAGCTAGACGAGACAACGAGCTTGATGGAGAAGCTCGACGAGACAACGAGCTCGATGGAGAAGCTCGACGAGACAACGAGCTTTGAAGAAGCTAGACGAGACAACGAGCTTGATGGAGAAGCTCGACGAGACAACGAGCTTTGAAGAAGCTAGACGAGACAACGAGCTTGATGGAGAAGCTCGACGAGACAACGAGCTTTGAAGAAGCTAGACGAGACAACGAGCTTGATGGAGAAGCTCGACGAGACAACGAGCTCGATGGAGAAGCTCGACGAGACAACGAGCTTTGAAGAAGCTCGACGAGACAACGAGCTCGATGGAGAAGCTCGACGAGACAACGAGCTCGATGGAGAAGCTCGACGAGACAACGAGCTCGATGGAGAAGCTCGACGAGACAACGAGCCTTGAAGAAGGTCGGAAGCATTTCAACGTCGATAAGGAAGAAAAACGAGAAGATGATAACGAAACTATAGACACGCTCGGGAGGGATGAAAAGGAAAGCTATCGGGACACAAACAAAACTTGCGGCTGCAAAGATGGGAAGGACGTTCGATCAAGGTATCAGCTGAACATTTTGGCATTGATCGAAAGTGTGTTCGATCCTATATCAGACAAATGCCTGAGCCGGAAAAGCTTCACAGGAAGAGAGTTGCTTGATTTTGACATACTGATTGTTGGTCTTGCATGTTGCATTTTTTGGATAATCGTTAATTTTGACTAGTTGATCGTTTTTTGGTTTTAACCTGGGATAAATCTGTTAATTTAGTTTGTTATTTGTGAAAAATATTTTAAAATTTCCATATCTGGCTATCATTGTTGCGTTTTGCTTTGAAATTTATGGCAAGTCTGGGGAGTAAACTAGCCTAATTTAGCTAGCCTAGTCTAGCCTAATTTAGCTAGCCTAGTCTAGCCTAATTTAGCTAGCCTAGTCTAGCCAAATTTATTCCATTTTCTTGAAGAGAGATGCTTGAGAAAATAGAGCCCCATCGGGTTCACTTACAGCAGTAATTGCTGTTCTTTAGTTGACATCAGCACTGTTTGGGTGGCGATGTCGATGTCGATTGATATGATCATGTTTTATAAATTGGCGGTAAGTTTTACGCAAACTTTCATCAAATAACAGCAATCACAAATCACAAATCATAAAGCATGAAATCAAAAATATATCATATTTTCAGATTCTGGCCAAAAAAAAGTCAAAAGCCTTCTCAGTTGCTGAGAAAGTTCTCATTTTTCAAGTAATGTTCACATTATTTTTCACTATTTCAAACTTTTAGATGCTTGGGACAAATCTGAGCGCTGGTTATCCGTATTTTATCGAGTCATACGTCCTCTATTTCCTTCAATTCATTGACCCATGGACACAAACGATTTTCTCGTATTTCTCGAAGATGATTCTATATGGAGGAGGACAAAGCTGGGATGGGTAAATGAAAGAATGAAAAGATTAAAAAGAAAAAGAGATTGTGGCTTCAATCTCTTAGCCATAAGTTGCCCAGAGCTCTCATTTTTGTTCATTTAACCTTCACAAACAAATCGTTCGCTTTGGGAATGAATTCGGCATCATGCCCAGTGTTGATTCCGTTGCACACCCGATTCCCATGGCTTGATCTCGTTGCACAGACGACACACGGTTGGCCTTGTGCTGCTCTGCAAGACTCGGAGCTTGCTTCATCAGTTCCCGCTTGAGAATGGGTGAACGAAGAATCACGTTGTGAACAGTTTTCCGGCAAACGGGCAGATTCTTGTCTTTTCTAATCGTTTCAAGAAAGTCTATCGAGTTGGTGACTTGTCGAACAATCTCTTTTGTTTCGTTCGGAGAGCTTGGGCTTTCTTCCACCTGTATGGAGCAGGACAAAGCTGGGATGTGTAAATGCAAGAATGAAAAGAAAAAGATAAGAGATTGTGGCTTCCATAAGTTGCCCAGAGCTCTCTTTTTTGTTCATTTAACTTTCACAAATCGTTCGCTTTGGGAATGAATTCGGCATCTATTTAAGCTAAAATTCTATGCTGATTTAGGAGATCTTGAATGAGTCTTGTGGGCGAGACTCGCACCAAAAGACTTTTATCTGTTGACAAGTTCGGTCAAACACATTGTCAATCATTTTGATGCAAGTTGCAGATCTATTAACTAGTTGCAGATCTATTAACTAGTTGCGGATCTATTAACTACTTTTTAAATCTCTTAATTCAAGATTTCAGTGCAATCACCATCTACACGCTGAAAAGAGCCGAGAGAAAAACACAAAAAGTGACCCAATCGGTGCAACAGGTGATGCCAAGTGGATCCTCTTGGACAAGTACGACGAAATGAGAAAAGAGGAAGACATTACGACTATTCAGTTGCTGATTTCTCGGCTTTGAGTCTTTAAGATAGACTCTTTAAGATGACTTTTAAAAGGTAGTTATTTGAATCTTAAATAAACATTTAGTAAATCTCTTCAAAAAAATCAAATTTCGGTGTCCGGACGCGTTTGAATCCATTTTTTGATCGCCGGAATCGAGTGAACTTTTTCCATGTGAGCTTTCACCTGAATTAACGATTCTATTGTGCAACTTTCAACTGTTCAACTAAAATATCACTGCTCAGAATTGAAGTCTTTTTCAACAATAACTTTACCTTCAAGGTCAAACACTCACCTCGGGGTATTTGTCAAGATAGTGAGCATTGTAGCGAATGAAAGTCTCACAGTGATCGGCCACCAAAAGATCGATCCAGGAGATCTTTTCGCCTACCTAGAATATGAAAATTAATAGAATTTTTAATAAGTTTGCTCAAATATTATTTGGTACTATTATTTGGTATTATTATTTGGTACTACTAACCGGGATGGGGTCTAGTCCCGGGAGGGAGAGGGGGTTAAGGGGACATTTGCCCCTCCCCCTCTCCTCGAAATCTACTATTTATAAAAGACCTGTGTCTGTCTGTCTGTCCATCTGTCTGTCTGTCTGTCTGTCTGTCTGTCTGTCTGTCAGTGGGTCGTTTCAAATGACTTATAGTTAGTTTGGCTTAGAATTGCATGCAGTTGTGAAATATGTTTTTAAATTTTTAAAAAACCAAAAGTGCCGACGCGGGCGGGAGTCGAACCCGGCTCGTGTGGGCTAGAGACAAGCGCGCTCTCACTGCGGCATCTTTTATATCATCTTTTATATCTTTTATATCGAGTTGTTAATGCGCGCGTCTCTTAAACGAACGTAAGAGAGAGGTGGCGGGTTCGACTCCGCTCGTCGCCAATTCTTTTGCTTTTTACTCCAAAAATGCCTTTTCCTGTGAAGCTGCTGATTGAAAAAATCAGCAGTTAATACCGTAAAAACTCTAATACCGTAAAAATAAACCGTAAAAACCGTACCGTAAAAACTCTAATAGATCCGGTTCTCCTATTTTCCAATCCTCCAAAATCGGCCAGCCAAAAAAGTAGATAAGGGTCCCCAAATGAATCAAAAATTTATTTTTTTTTAAAAACTATTCTACGTAATAATCCTTGGTTTAAAAAGTGCAGAAAACAAGTTTAAAAGTGAAAACATTTTCTTATCCAAGATCCTTGGACGATCTTCGAAAAAATGATCCCGCCTTATAAATGATCCCTTATAAGTTTTTTTTCAAAAAATTACTTAACTTTTTAAAAATCACGTTTCCAATTTTATTGGCAACGCAAAAATACTTCTATCTGCGCCCATATTTACAACTTTCGCTAGAAAAATGTTTAGAAAAACTCAAGTTTTCGAGGAGTCAAAGGGGATCTTCTATTGGAGAGGGGCCTTCTAATAGAGAGGAGTCTTCTATTAGAGTTTTTACGGTAAATATATTGGTTTTTTCTTCTTTTTTATTGGTTTTTCCTCCTTTTTGTTGCTTTTTTGCCCGAAATCTGGCTTCCCCCCGACAAATTCAACAAGCTTGATCACCGACAATGAATCCCGACTTGGAGTTGCCAAGAAATTTGGAAATTGCCGGGAAAAACTTGTCCCTTCCCGGTTCGACGGATGTTTTGTAAGCATCATCCTAAACTTGTTGGCTAACTTTGAAAGGATTCATTTCTTTTTACCATTGACTCTTCGCTGACCCCGTGCCACGATAGATAGAATGGACGACAGGCTTTAAAGAGATCATCGTAGGCAATCCCGATCGAGTCGATCAAAGCCGCTTCATAAGCATTTGAGCCGTTGAAACCTTAGGTAAATATGAAAATATGAATTTGTAATACTTAACAATCTCCGGTTGGGTCAGGAATCATAATTTATAATTTAAAATTGTCTACCAAATTCGGCTCCCAAAAATTTGGCGATTGCGTTCGCTTGTGCGAGCTGTTTCCCATCAAACTTCAGCACGGGCAGTTGACCGAAATGGGTTGCTTTAAATTAACATTTTAGCATTTTCACATTTAGCAAAGTTTTAGCTATGGCCACTCTCGTGAGCCATAGCTATAGCCATTTAACGTGCTTGGTTGAGCCAAATAGTTGAGTTGAGCCAAATATATTGGGTTGGTGAATTGAAAACTGCCGGCTATTGTCATATGTGACAGTTTGAGCACTTTCTTCAAAAGAAACCCATTTTGGTGTCAATGGAAAAGTTGTAGAGAATCAAAAATCAAGCTTATATCCAAATTTTCAGAACGATTCAAAAACTCGTTTTCAAGAAATGCCAAATTTACGAATTTTCACAAAACTTACATTTTAAGCGAAACTACTAAGTGTATCTTTTTGGTTGGTCTCATGGAGACCGGAGCTTATTCCAAGTCTAAGCTTATTCTAAGTCCAAGACCGGAGCTTATTCCAAGTCTAAGCTTATTCCCAGTCCAAGACCGGAGCTTATTCCAAGTCCAAGACGGGGGCTTATTTCAAACCCTACTAATACGGTTCGCAAAAGAATGATGAAGGGAAAGATGATGGGGATGGTAATCGACCGAAATTTGATAAGGATGACTACGTGCACTTCTAGGACTTTCCACTTTCCACAATTTTCAAGAGGATTTGAAATTCTGGATGCGACTTAGGGTGGAAAAGATTTTTTTAGCAAAAAATAAGATCAAAGTAAATACGGCGATATAAAAGGGGTTTTAAATCAAAAACTAGTCTAGTCTCATAATTTGGAATAAGACAAGAAAGGAAACAACGAGTGTATGCGTTTTTTAGTGAAACCCCGTTGGACATTTTCAACCAGGGTGATAAGTTTCTTAATGGAATTCTTAATGAAATTATCATCTTCAATAAATTTATCTTTGCTTGAGCCCAACTCGAATGAAAAGTCCAAAAAAGAAATTATTCTAATTTTCTGCAAGGGGAGAGGCTTAGAAAGTCTAGAAGCGTTTTTCGAAATTGATGTAGTTTATGTGAAGATCAAATTTTAGAGAGGGAACTAACAGTATACCAAGATCTTTTACAGGATCAAATCAGCTTCTTTATCGAAAGTATGTGGCTCAAAATAATCATAATCAAATTCCCAGATGGTTTTGTGCAAATTTACTTGATATGTATTGGGTTGATGAATTGAAAACTGCGGGCTATTGCCATATGTGACAGTTTGAGCACTTTCTTCAAAAGAAACCCATTTTGGTGTCAATGGAAAAGTTGTAGAGAATCAAAAATCAAGCTTATATCCAAATTTTCAGAACGATTCAAAAACTCGTTTTCAAGAAATGCCAAATTTGCGTTTCCATGTAAGATTTTAATTTTCGCGCAACGTCGCATTCCAAATAACGTCGCCGGTAGTCGAAGGCAGTCGATGGGAGCGCCGCGTCGTCGTTTCTTTTTCATTTTCAAATCATTTCTTTTTATCAGATTAATTGAAAGTATTGTTTTACGCGATAAATTTTGTGATGAAATGAGAAAGCAATCTATTTCCAGTGGAGAATTCGGAACTTTTCGTAGGTCGAACCACAATGAAGGCCAAAACAATTGGATTGGTCAATTGAAAACTGCCGGCTATTCTCATATGTTCCAGTTTGAGCACTTTCTTCAAAAGAAACCCATTTTGATGTCAATGGAAAAGTTGTAGAGAATCAAAAATTACGCTTATATCCAAATTTTCAGAACGATTCAAAAACTCGTTTTCAAGAAATGCCAAATTTACGAATTTTCACAAAACTTGCATTTTAAGCGAAACCACTAAGTGTATCTTTTTGGAAATTTGGCTATAAGCCTGATTTTTGATTCTCTACAATTTTTCTATTGACACCAAAATGGGTTTCTTTTGAAGAAAGTGCTCAAACTGGGACACTCCTCCATTTTTGAGTCTCCAGTCCTCCATTTTTGAGTCTCACACTTGTCTCACACACAAACCAAAATCCTACTACGAAAGATGAATCCGCAAATTGCCTGTAAAATGGGCAGAAGTCGTCAATAATAATGAAAATTATTTGGAATGAATTCATGGTTTTATGTTGAATAAATTTTAGTTCAAAGTCCCGCAGTTTTCAATTAAGCAGCCTAATAGTTGAGTTGAACCAAATATAATTTAAGCTGACACGACTGACAAAACTTAGAATCCCATGAAAACATGATTCTTTGACTATTTCGTTGTTGTTATGGAATGATTTTGCACAGCGCTGTATTAAGAGCTGCATCTTTTTTCACGTAAAATCACCAACTTTTCTTTAATTCTCCCCATTTGGCCCTGTCAAGAGTGGAGGCTCGTCCCGAGGGTCCAAGAGAGAATCGATCATCCTCGAATTCGACCTCAGCCAACGCAAAGAGCTGTCTGATGAATTCACCTGAATAGACGCCTTTGAAATCATGAATTCATCTAGTTTTTATGATTAAATGAGTCTTTGAGAGCTGGTATATGTGTCGTAGCCGTTTACGAAATTCAGCCTTTCACGAAATCTTTCGTAATCGGCTAGCCGTTTACAAATGAAATGTTTAAATCCAAATTTTCCCAACAACATTTTGATCAATGATTTCGGATTCATTTTTTTGCTTTTTTTGATTATTTTTTAATTTTATTACAACTCATTCGTTTTTTTATCAGAATAAATTTCCTTCTCAACCAACTTGACGCATATCAAGTCTTGAAGAAGCAAACGTAACTACTAACGACGACCTAAAGTTGAAGTGGACAAGCTAAAGTTGGATAAGTGGACCAGTTGAAGTTGGAATGACTGTTCGTCTCCTAATCGATCTTGTTGATCGACCTAAAATCGGCCACTCGTCTCTTTTTGGTGTCGTGCTGTCTTTAGAGGACGGTTTATATCAGATTGGCACCAAGAATTGAGTTTTGTAAAATTAGTTAGTTATATTAAATTTTATTCATTAACCAGCCAAGAAACCGAGGTTTTTTTTTGGATATTTTGGGGATGGACGGCTTTTGTCGCCGTGGAGCAGTGGATAGCACGATCTGGGTTCGACCTCCCCGTGCGACTCGAATTGTGTTTTTTTAAAAATCCAAAAGCACGTTGCACAACTATATGTAATTCCCTATTCAACGGCGCAAAAATCATTGCGAACGGCCCTCTGGTGGCTGAGGAGTAGCGCGAACAGACAGACAGACGAACAGACAGACGGACAGACAGACAGACAGGCGGGCAGACAGACAGACAGACAGACAGAGATACAGGCGGACAGACAGACAGACAGACAGCCAGACAGAGATACAGGCGGACATTTCATTCGTAAACGGCTACGACATATGCATAGTTTTCCCCATAAATCTCCACACAAACCTTTGCCTCTGACAGCGAAATAGGTGAACTTGTAATTAGGCATGGTCGTTTGCTAAAAAAGTGCTTTATTGAATATTTTATGAAGCAAAAGCAAAGCAAAAATACATTTCAACTTTGTTTATTTTGGAAAATCTCAAAAAATGGTTTTTCAGAGAGAGTGATAAGATTGCTCGAAAAGAGAAATCGGAGATTAAGCGCCGAAATTGAAAATTGAAAGTCGCAAACACAAACTAGAAATCGTTTGGAAGGAAAAGAGAAGACAAAACAAAAAAGCTCAACGAAATTTTAATCAAATCAATCAACATTAGTTTTACAGTAAGATAAGGTTCAGATTAAGAAGATCTGTATCTGAACAGCTAGAATTAGAACAGCTGAACAGCTAGAATTAGAACAGCCGAACAGCTAGAATTAGAATAGCTGAACAGCTAGAATTAGAACAGCCGAACAGCACAGTCAAACCACATTACTAAATCATGGGCGGGGTTTTGAAACACTCATTAAGGCTCAGCAAACTATACGTTCATTGAAAATTGATATCAACTCGATCAAGATTAAAAGGGGAGTCTTCTTTATGGCCGGATCTCGGTAAAAAACCTTAACAAAAGCCTCTAAAGTTTTGTTTTTATATTATCAAGTATGGCCCAAAAATATCAAAATCTATTCGGTTGGTTATCTGTTTTCAAAAATCAACATTTTAAGGGCAAATGAACTGACCAGGATTCGAAGTTTTCGGGTCCTCAGAAAGTAAGCTGGCTTGTGCAAAAGCCAAGTGTGCCGAATATTCGACAACGAATTCAAATTTGGGATCTAAACAATCAATTACCTTTTGTATTGTCAATCTTCGTGTAGAGCATTTAGCCCGTTTACTGAATATCTTTAACGTTGTTTGCTTTATTTAGTGTATTATGCTTTATTGCTTTATTTAGTGCTTTACCAAGTATTAATCTTAAATCTAGCGCACTTTATTTCAGGTATCTAAATACCGTATTTTCTAGTAAAAAAGTCTCTAAATACCGTATTTTCCATTAATAAAGTATCTAAATACTGTATTTTCTAGTAATAAAGTATCTAAATACCGTATTTTCACTAATAGTAGTGCACACTGAGCGTCGCCTAAATTCCTTTGCTTTGCCTGCTCGAAATCTCGAGAGCCGCTGATCAGAACCTATCGATGTGGGGTCGGAAAATGGAGCTGACGATGAGATCTAGTGGGGGATTAGAGTGTTGAGCTTCTAGGAAAACTTCGAAACCGTAAAATAGGCATCAACTCGGCGCGGCCGGGGTGCACTACTATTAGAGAAAATACGGTATATAGTAGACTTCGGAAAACAAAACTTAACCAAAACCAAAACCACCAAAACCAAAACAGACCAAAACCAAAACAGACCAAAACCAAAACCAAAACCAAAACCAAAACTAACCAAAACTCGCCAATATCTCGCGATTGGGAGGAGCTAGCGAAAATCTGTTGGCAGATTTGAAATCAGCGTCCAAAAATCTATCCCATAGGCTATTTTTTGTTTCGAAATTTCGAGGTCGTGTTTTGGTCCTTTTTTCGGCCGCGAGATTTTGGGGAGTGAGAAAAAGTGAAAGGTAAATTTGCATTTTACAATTTTAAATTTACATGTTAATTTATATGCAAATTGAGTTTTGGTTTTGTTTTGGTTTTGTTTTGGTTTTGGTTTTGGTTTTGGTTTTGGTCTGTTTTGGTTTTAGTTTTGTTTGCCGAACTCTAGTATATAGGCTATAGGCTATAGGCTTTCTGATTGTCAAAGATTTGCGGCACTTTCAAAGTCAATTCCAAGTTCGTTGATTCTTTTGTATTCCGGAAAGCCGTCCCGAGCGAAAAGCGGAAAAATGACTTATTTACACAACGACAAGTAGTATAATAGATAGATTAGTACAAAAGATTCGAGTCTATAGGATTAAAAATAATCTAAAAGATCCACAAAGATCACCTCAAATCGAAAAATGACTTTTAAAGTAAAGAAATCCTTCAATGGATACTGTAAAAATATAATGAAATATTCAATTTCGAAAGAAAACGCCGTACCAGAATTAAAATTTTAAAAAATCCCGTTGTTGTGGGTGAATCATAGAATTTTATTTAAAAAAAGCAATTTTACGGAGGGGATTCCCTTTTCTGAAGTTACCGATCATTGCCTTTTTTTAATTTATTTTATCTCCAGAAAGTTATTAAATTTTTTCTGACTAGATAAAAGAACAATCATTGGGATTTGGATCATTTGGCTACATGGGAATTTTAACTCCATAATTATAACTTAAAGTTATGGAGTTATAACTTTAGAAGTACTTTAGTTATGGCGTTATAACTAAAGTTATGGAATTATAACTCCATAACTAAAGTACTTCTAAAGAACTTTCAAATTTTTATTTTAAAATTAAAAATTAAACACAATTTTTCTGTGTTGCTCAGTCTCTACTGGTCTCTATTGACGAGTTTTCTAGAGTCTTTCTAGTCTCTAGAGGTTACTCGGGAAGTTAAGCCAACTTAACTTAACTATGGATGCTTTTAACAAATTCGCGACGAGGCGTTTTTTTTGCGTTACTGCCCCAGTGGACGAGGGGTGTCTCGCAAAACTATTTCGGTGTATTTCGGTGTAACCAAATATACTATATGTAAAATATATATTTCCACCCAAACCGGGTGCTCCCATTGGGTGTGCTCGGTGTTGTGGCTGCAAAATGGGAAAGGTCAAGGTCCAGGTCCAGGACAAGTCTCAGGCCCAGGACAAGGTCCAGGTCCAGGACAAAGCCCAGGTCCAGGACAAAGCCCAGGCCCAGGACAAGTCTCAGGCCCAGGACAAGGTCCAGGTCCAGGACAAAGCCCAGGTCCAGGACAAGTCTCAGGCCCAGGACAAGGTCCAGGTCCAGGACAAAGCCCAGGTCCAGGACAAGTCTCAGGCCCAGGACAAGGTCCAGGTCCAGGACAAGTCTCAGGCCCAGGACAAGGTCCAGGTCCAGGACAAAGCCCAGGTCCAGGACAAAGCCCAGGTCCAGGACAAAGTCTCAGGCCCAGGACAAGGTCCAGGTCCAGGACAAGGTCCAGGTACAGGACAAGGTCTATATGTAAAATTTCATGCTGAATCCGAATCTCTAATCAGATTTTGAAAATATTGCTGCCTCAAAAAGATATCGGCTCTTTTTTGGCTCGTGAGACAAAACGCCGCATTTTTCTTTCTCCAAGCGCAACCTTATAGTTCTGGTTTAGAACTAATCGAATCTTTTTACATTTTGAAATTATCTTAAAAAGGTGAAAAGTTATAGCGCGTCAAAAATTTCTGCTACCGGTGGACCGAACCGTCCCAGGGGCCAGACGGCCTTCGTCCACCGGTGAACCGAATCGTCCCGAACGTGTTAAACTTACAGACAGCTTTTGGCCCATGAACTAGAAGAATTTGTGCAGTTTTTTGCGCTGAATCGGATCGTGTGGGTCGTTTGGGGATAACGGTTCGAGAATTTAGAGATATTTAGCTTCAAACTTTACACTAAAATCTCGACCACCTGGATTTCGACCACGCAGCGTCAATTGAACTTTACAGAGAACTCGAGACACTTTCTCGTAGCTTAGTGAAATGTTCTCGTAGCTTAGTGCGCTGGGCTAGTAAATCTTTGTCCTAGGTTCGGATCAACTTTTTTGCTTTTATTAAAAACTGTCGAATAATTGGTTTTTTTATCGTGTTTTAACTTGGCTTTGCATAATTATCTTATGGTTTTGAGTTTTTATTTGTAGTTACACTTACCGTAAATACTGTAATAGTACCCCACCGCCCTCGTACAGTCGCGTAGTCGCAAAAGTTTTTTAGTATTTCATTATGTCAGTATTTCTGGCATCAAAGTTTAGCCCGATTTTAGAAGTTCTTACAAGCTTTTTCTCTCTTCCTTAGCTTAGCTATGGATGCTTTTTCCTTAACAAGAGAGCTAGTGGCGCAGTGGATAGTGTGCTCGTCTCCAGAATTTTTTGCCTGGGTTAGGATTCGCTCTTTTTATCCTCTTTTTGTTTTTTTGATTAGAAAATGATTAGAAAATTTTTGATAGCATCAGGAGTCAATTATTTTGACTTTCTTTAACAGAAGAATGGTTAGAATTGATTTAGGAGCATAAATGCTTTGTTTATAAATGCTGCTGCTGCTTTGCTTTGCTTTGCTGTTGCTGCTTTGCTGTTGCTCGAACACTATTCACGATTTCACGCAGTTCTTATGCACAAATAGTGGAATTCAATAATGGAATTGAATTGAATTGAATTGAATTCCACAAAATCGTGGAATTCAATTCAAAATTTCGAATCATTTTCTCAAAAAAACAAAAAGAGCGAAAGAAAGGAAGGAAGCGAACTCGAATCCATTCAAAAAATTCTAAAGGCAAGCACACTATTCACCGCGCTACTAGCTCTCTTTTTAAAGAAAAGAGAAAAAGCTTATTCAGATTCAGATTCAGAATCAGCATAGCCGATTCTATAAAATCCCGTGGCTTTTGTATTAAAAAACCACCTTGATCTGTCCCTTTCCCTAGAACCAAAACAGGCAAAGTCAATTTGATTATAAAATTTTTTTCTTCTTCTCTTTCTTATCTCTTTTCCTCTTTCTTTTATTGTTATGGTTACTACTAAAGTTTTATTGCTTAAGTTTAGTTTACATTACAGTTAGACTACATTAGATTACAGTTTACATGCTAATTTGGCTTTGCTTGATCGCCTTGAATTCAGCGAATGGCCAACTCACGCCGATATGGACGAGCACAACTACGGTAAAGATACTTTGACATGGAATTGAGCCTAATTGAGTATCTAATTGAGTATCTAATTTAGTACCTAATTGAATACCTAATTGAATACCTAATTGAGTACCTAGTTGAGTACCTAATTGAGTACCTAGTTGAGTACCTAGTTGAGTACCTAGTTGAGTACCTAATTGAGTTCCTAATTGAGTACCTAGTTGAGTATCTAATTGAGTATCTAATTGAGTTTCTACTGTACTGTATTGATAGGTTTTTTATAAATTAGTACTTATTAGAGAGTACTTA